TTTGTAAACTTCCACAGAAGGGCCTTCTATCCAGTCTTCACATGCACACACCCTGGTCCTAGGTCTTAGGAGCCATATTCTGCATTTGCATGGATAGATGCATGTACAGCTTAGTCAGCCTGCCAAAAGCACTTGCCTGAAACTGTTCCAAACTCTGGGAGAGAGCACAGAGAGCTGTCAAACAATTCCTTTGTTCCTCAGCCACAAGTCAGTCTCTGCTTTGGGCTGTGTGGCTGCCCCTCGCCCTGCCTGGAGGGCAGGGATCCGTATTTAGCCAAAGCTGGAGAGAGGAGAGGCTGCCTGTGCATCCCTTGGGTCGTGGCCAACACCCAGCACCTGCCAGCTGTCCCTGGAGTCACCAGGCTCTGGGGACATCACTGGAGTGAAATGCTGTATATGGTAAAACTTCAGCTATTTTGTGTGTCTGTGTTGGGGCTGGGGTGGAAATTTCTCTGTAACACTGATGACAATATTCTAAGCTTTCCTTATCCTAAAAGGTAAATCACTTCAGACAGAGCTTTAATTTCTTTTGCACTTCTGTTTTGAGCTTGTAACTGGAAAAGCATGTCTTGCACTGTTCAGTCTCTCTGGTCACTTTAACCACCTCAGAGTTGTGTACAGTGATTATTCCCCCCCTGCCATCTGTATATTTTTGGAATCTTATACAAATACCATTGTCCTTGGTTTTGTTTTAATGTACTAAACTATGTAGCTTTATAATTTGACTTTTGTTTTCTTTTTTTAACCAGCTGCTGCTTTGTCTTTAGGTGGTTCTGAATTCAACTTGGTATGGCACTGAAAATGCAAACGCTGCATTTTGTAGCTGTTCACAACCTTGATATTCCTGCTGTGGGTTAAAGTGCAAGTCCATTTTGTATGGCTGTCAGCATAACCTAGTGGCTGTATTTAAAGCACCAAACAAATCAGAAGTTGTCTGGTCAGGTGTTATATAATCGTGGCAAACTGACATTTTCTACAATTTTTACTTCTAACACATAGTAGTTCATAGCAGAAGTAACATTAAAATTGTCTAAAATTTGACAGACATTCAGCTTTCAAATAAACTTCTCGAGTAGTTTGAGTCTTTTCCAAAAAAAAAAAGGCATTTTTCTTAATAATCGATAAAATTATAATCAAGAAACTGTTAAAGGAGCATTTGCTTTTATTGGTTTATACAGCTCAGAATGTTTGTTACAGGTAACTCTGTCTTGGAGATAGAACCTGCTATTCAGCTTAAAAATACTGGCACATACCTGAACTTTTAAAAAATTTTGAGTCAAAGGGTCAGCATGATAGCTAGAATTACTGTGTGATACAAATTCATTGAATGGTTATTTGTGATAAAAAATTCCTGTAATGGACTAATTGCCAGCTACTTGTGGTTAAATGCTTCCAAACAAGTATAAACTTGGGAATTTCATTTACTGAAGGGGTTTATTCATACATTTTGAATATTTTCACTTCAGATTCTTTATTAATTTCTAGAATATGCAGACAGTTTCCCCCTCCCCACTATGCCAGTGTACAAATCATTTCAGCTTAGTCCAGAGCAGCATTTCTGGACGTGTTGGGGAATCTCTGGCTGTTCTTAAACTGAGCTGGAAAACAACAGCCAATTGTTATGGAAGTGTTCTCTGGGAACTGTGCCAGCTTGGACCCTTCAGCTCAAGGAAGTATCGCGTGCTCCAGGATTGCAGGTGCATCCTGCTCCTCCATGTGCTGACATTTTTCATTCCAGTGAAATGGAATGAGGCCCATGAAACTGCAGGGGGAGAGGGGATGGTTACAAGAAATTCCACAATAAAGGTACACCAGTGTTTTGTGTTTCAGATCCCAGGGAGGGAAACATCAGATGGCTCTTGGCTGGAATGTACACCAGAAAAATATACACATGGGAAATAAAACCAGAATGAAATAATTGTTTGGACAAAATAGCTGGAGCTTTAATTTCTGACACCACATTGTCCCTTGTTAAATAAAAAGGATAAATTTTGCAATATCTGAACAAGCTGATGAATCACCTGAAGTAAAACTGTATCTCTTTTCACTCTCCATGCCTGTGCAGGTTTATGTGAGTTGGTGTATCAGCCTGGAAGTTGTGTTGGTGGTGATCAGTGATTGTTCAAGGGAGAGCCTTGAAACACTGAGACTGAGATGCAGTTTGCAAAATTACCTGAGAAACTGATTTATTTGCATGCACTGTTCAATTTTAGTACTTGTTTCTAGGGCTGAAAGAAAGGCCAGAGCTGTCAGGGAAAGCAATTTTAAGTGTCTTATATCTGATTTCTTAAAAAAACTTGAAAATACTGAAACCAGCTTTACTGCATTTTTCAAAATAGTACTTGCTTGGAAACTTAGCACTTGCTTAGAAAAATAGCACTTGCTTTTTGTTTCATAGTAAGGTTGGGGATTTTTTAAAATGAATTTGTGTACCCAGTGATCATGGTGAAAATAAGATCAAAAGGTACCATAGTGGAAAACAAATGGAACTTGGTCAGTTCCTGGTATTCACCATTGCATGTTAATGTTCATTAATGCAACAAAGGATGCCTGTGTGTAACTTGTTAAAGCAAAAGGTGAGATAGAATTGAACAGAAACTTGGTTGCTCTTCCTCAGATCTCACAGTGAATTGTGGGGAGCACTAGGACTGCCAAAGGAATTTTGAACATCAAGAGCCCCTTGAAAATAGGGTGATGTAGGATATAGTGCAATGTGTCTCAGCACAGGAGAGGATTCTCTGATTCCTTGGTGTTCCTGATGCTTTTAGGAGGGTAATTAGCAAATTTCAGTGATTGTTACTTCATGAATTAGTAAATTCAGTTTGGACTGTTTTACAGCAATATGTCAGCTAGTTGTGAACTATTCTGTTCAACTCAAGTTGCATTTCTGTGCTATTGTGCACTGTACCTGGGCCAGCTTGCTTGTCCATGTGCTCTCCACTCCTGCAGCTCTCCTGCCTGGATCTCACCTTCCCCAAAGTCCTAGCTTTGGTTCACATGGAAGTGAACATTCCAGGAGTTTTGTTCAAGCTTTGTGCCAGCTGAGGACACAGTAGGTCCTGGATCTCACTGTCTCTGGAATGGAAAACATCAGATACAAACACTGTTGGCTTGCTGAACACCTAATCTTGGATATGTTACACAAAATGATCAAATGCAGTGATTAAATAGGGAAAACACTTTACTCTCCAGTACACTTGGGCAATTAAATTGCCCAAAACTTTCCTATTTAATATATATTTTTTTTAGTTGTTTAAGCCTTGTTTAACTGCTCTGGAATGTTTAGTTTATAAACCTGGGGTATTCTGTTTAATTCATGACCGTTTACAAACCTGCGTGTGTTTGTGGTGCTCTAAACCTGCCTTTGTGCACCAAATTCCTGATGTGCTGTCACTCCTCCAGTGCTCCTGTCACCTGCTGCCACACTCCTTTTGACAGGATCCTTCCCATGCATGAGAAGCCCTTTAGCACAATGATGGATAGCAGGGCTAATATTTGAACTCCAACCAGAAGGGAACGCTGTCAGAAGTGTTACATGTGGTGTTTGCAGTGCAGCTGAGTGAAACACTGATGACCCCGAGAATTCTGCAGTCAGCTGCTGCACTGGCAACCCCAAAGCTTCCTGGTTTATTGTGAAATGGTCACTGACCAAAAAGTAAACCTGGCAAGGCCACAGAGCCTCGATGCAATCTAGGCATCTGCTTTGCCCCTGATGCTGCACCAGTCTGCACAGTTCAGATTCTCTGACTGAGGAGAGAAAAGCTGAGCAAAACCCTTCCTGTGTCTCACCACCTTGCTGCATTTTTCAGTTCTAAATCCCACTCTAATGTGCTCTAATTAAAATGCATGCAAACCAAACTATTCACAAAAGTGCTGTTTTATAGATCCTGTGCTTTGCCCACTGCTTCACAGAATTGCAGACATTGAATTTCCCCTCCAATAGCCCTGTTGCATGTGGGACGAGGAGCTTGTAGGCATGAGCCTTTTGTACTCGTTATTACTAATAAATTTAAAGTGATGAATCATAACCTTGAGATACTAGTACTACCTGAAGAGATAAGGCATAATTTACTTTGTGATAATAGCCTCCATTGTTTTTATCACTAGTGCTGATTTAGATTAATTTGAGTGGATTTTTGATCTACTGATGTAGATTATTATGAGCAGATAACTGAAATTCCAACAAGTGGTAGTTCAACTTCTACACAGGGCAATCTTTCTCACTGAACTGCCCACAATCAGCATTTTATGACAAATACATGCAGTGAGAGATTAAATGGAGCTAAGTTCTTACAGAGGAGTTTGCCAAAGTTCTTCAAATATCTTACCACAAAAAGGGAAGGAAACGGAGACTTTGCTACAGGCGTTTGGAGTTGGAGTTCAGTACCTTTAGGCAAGGGCCTGGAAGCACGGGGTCAGAGCAGGACAGCTGCTCACGAGAACGCGGGGTTATGACGGCGAATGGCTGTTCCCAGTTCTGAGGGCTGCCCCAGCCCGCTGTGAGGGCTGCCCTTGCCCGCTGTGAGGGCTCCCTCCTCCTGTCCTCTTTGAGGGCTGTTCCTGTCCCCCGCTCTGACGGCTTCTCCTGTCCTTTCTGAGGGTTGCTCCCGTCCCCCTCTGAGGGCTCCTGTCCCGCTATGAGGGCTGCCCCTGTTCGCCCTGAGGGCTCCTCCTGTCCCGTTTGAGGGCTGCTCCTGTCTTCTCTGAGGACTGTTCCTGTCCCCAGCCCTGAGGGCTGCTCCTGTCTTCTCTGAGGACTGTTCCTGTCCTCTCTGAGGGCTGTTCCTGTCCCCCTCTCTGAGGGCGGCTCCTTCCCCGCTCTAAGGGCTCCTCCTGCCCGCTCTTAGGGCTGCTCTTGTCCCGCTCTGAGGGCTGTTTTTCCCCGCTCCCCGAGTCCCTCAGCGCCCGCCCCGCCCCACCGCCAGGGGGCGCAGCGGCGGCGGGAGCGCGCCCAGTAGCGGGCGGCGGCCAATGGGCGGCGAGGGCGGGGCGGGGGGCGTGGCTCCGCACCGCCTCCGCCGCGCTATAAAGTGCGGTAGCGGGGGCTCAGCGCAGCGGGCGCGCAGCCGGTGAGGGAGTTTCTCGCTGCCGCCATGGGGAACACTGTGGCCAGGGAGGATTTCGAGTGGGTCTACACGGACCAGCCGCACGCCGACCGCCGCAAGGAGATCCTGGGTGAGGAGCCGCCGGCTGCGTGGCGGAGCGGGGGGGACGCGCACGGGCACCCCACAAGATGGCCGCCCTTGTCGGGGGGCGCCGCGGCGCCCCGGAGCCTCCCGGCGGGGCGGCCGGAGCCGGGCCGGGCCGCGGACGTGGGGGCGGGAGCCGGGAGCCGCCGCCTTGGCGGCGCTGGCGGGGGAGGGGAAGGGAAGGAGCGGGGAAAGGAGCGGGGGGGGCGGCCGCCTGCGGGGGCCGAGCCCGAGGCGCGGGGCGGCGGCGGCGGGCCGGGCTACCATCCCGGGCGGCGGAATAGCAGCCCCGGTTCCCCGGTGGCCCCGCGCCGCTCCCTGCCCGCGGGACGGCGGTGCTGGGGCCGCTGTGCGCAGAGGTCACCGCGACAGCCGCGTCTCGGCCGGGGCTGGCGGATAGCGGCGGCGCTGACAGCGGGGCTGGGGCTGAGCCTTCGAGAGCCCTTGTGAATTACCGGGGGGGTTGTCGGCTCAGAGGCGTTTCCTTCCTGAGGAGGCTGATGCGGTGCTGGTGCTTGCCATGTACGTGTGTAGTTGCTGAGCAACGCAAAAGTGCTAAAATGACTTGATTGCAAATGATTCATTATAGCAGTAAGTATCACAAGTGGAAAGGTCACGCGGTTTAGTTACCTTTGCAGACAATTCCTAATTGGGACAAAGGGAGGAAAAAACTGTCATCTAATTGGGATAGTTGGCTGTGAGGAGAGCTTTGAAATAACTTTCTTCATTTAATTTTTTCCCATCTAGCTAAACATCCGGAGATCAAAGCATTGATGAAGCCAGACTACAACCTGATCTGGGTGGTTGTGCTGATGGTTCTGGCGCAGCTGACTGCATTCTACCTGGTTAAAGACTTGGATTGGAAATGGGTTGTCTTCTGGGCTTACGTTTTTGGAAGCTGTATTAGTCACTCTATGACTCTGGCTATCCACGAGATCTCCCACAACAGTGCCTTTGGCAACTGCAAAGCCATGTGGAATCGATGGTTTGGAATATTTGCCAACCTCCCTCTGGGTCTCCCCTACTCCATCTCCTTCAAGAGGTACCACATGGATCACCATCGGTACCTGGGCGGTGACGGCATCGATGTGGACATTCCTACCAACTTCGAGGGCTGGTTCTTCTGCACCCGGTTTAGGAAGTTCATATGGATTGTTCTTCAGCCCTTTTTCTATGCCATTAGACCTCTCTGCATAAATCCTAAACCCATTAGTCGACTTGAAATAATCAATTTATTGGCTCAGCTCGCCTTTGATGTGGTAATATATTATTTATGGGGAGTCAAATCCATTTTTTACATGCTTGCTGGTTCAGTACTTGGTCTTGGGTTGCACCCAATTTCGGGACACTTCATAGCTGAACATTACATGTTTTTAAAAGGACATGAGACCTACTCCTACTATGGGCCACTTAATTTGCTCACTTTTAATGTTGGCTATCACAATGAACATCATGACTTCCCCAATATTCCTGGCAAGAGCCTTCCACTGGTAAGTTAACTTCTAAGGTTATTACTTTTTCTTAAATTAAGGTAGAACACTAACAGAAGAATGGAAGTTGGGAGATTAAAACCAAAAAGAAACCCCACAATATAAGTTGAGTGATAAAGGAGATAATTATTAAGCATTTTAGTGATAGCCTGAACAAGCTTCCAGTTTGCTGCTGCTCAGTCCCCTTCCATAAAAGGAGAGGGGAGGGAATGCATATCTTGTGCTTTGCACTAACTTTAGCTTTCTGTAATTACAGCCTGTCTTCTGAATTCTTTGTAAGTATGCAAGAAGCTAGTTAAGAGGTTGTAGTGAACTCTGGAGATTTGTTATCTCTGCCATTGAAATGTTAAGGACAGTATTGTAATGTGTGCTTATCCTTCAGCCTCTTCTGTCAGGGACATCCTCTGGTGGAGGAGGAGAGAGGGTTTGAGGTCCTGTTAATGTTTGTTGTACTGCTGACAAATGTTTAATAACTTCTCTAGTCTGCAGCACTTCAGTTTTTTCTGGCAAGAGCCTTTGACCCCTAAGTAAGTATCAGCTGTACGTTGGCAGCGTAGGACAGGCAGAAGGAAGAGTTTGAAGGCAGGACTTAGACCTGTCATGCCTGTATGAGTAGCAGAGGTGAAGTTCTCCTGCTTGAACCTTTGCTTCTTACAGCAGGAGCTTCTTTCTCACTGTATCGTGTTTCCCAATTGAAGAACAGAACACAGGCTTCAGGGTTACACCTGAATCTTCAGTTTTTTATCAGACACTAAATTTGCAATTTGACAGCAGCTGTGGTGTTGGTCTCACAGCTCTGGTATTGCATTTGGCAATAGTGAGACCTTGTAAGATCATCCCTCTGCTGAAGTCCAAACTTGATTGGTATTTCTGTTGGAAGTGGTGGAACTGCAGCTGAAATAACTACACCAGCACTTTTAGCAGGGCAGGTAGATCATGCAGTGGGTTTGCTGAGGCTTTGTGTGGTCTTCTGTGGGTTTTTTTTTTAAACCTAGATGATTGCTTTTATTAATAGATTTTAATCTTTCAAATGCAGTGGAAGTTGCTTTAACTCACATTTGATATTTGGGTCTGTGCTGCGAGCCAGCATTTCACTTCTTGGGTAGGTACTTTAGCTGTAAGTAGGCTATGAATTTTCCCAGGTATTTAATTCTAGGGGTAGACACCCAGTTCTGCTGCAGGACTCATAATCCACAGCTCTGATAAGAAGACAAAGCCCTCTTTTGGAACAGGGCAGTTAATTTGATTGGATTGGGCTGCTGTGCTGTGTGCTAAAAATCCCTGAGTACTGAACACTTGATTCCTCAGCACTGCTGAGCTGAGAGTTACTACAGTTGAGTAAAAGAACATTGCCTAGGTGCACTATTTTATAGGTGTGATGGGTCACAACAAGCTTTGCCTTCAAACCAGCCATGTAAATACCTCAGGTTTGTTTGCTGCTTATATAGATGTTATTTTTTGGACTAAAGCTATGGAATTTTGTGAAGAATCCTTTTTGTTCTGGTCATGTTTTTAAGGCTTTAAGTGGCTGGCCCTAAACAGCAGCATGGGCACCTAAATGAACCTGCTGCTCTCAGTTTAAACAGTGCTCTAGTTAACACGTGGAACTGAGAACAGTCTTTGGAAGTAGTTTCTATTCATTCTTTGAAGTCTGTCTTCAGAAACAAAGTATTCCTCAGAAATAAAATGCCTTTTTTCTTCTGAGTACCGAGATTTGAAGCTACAAGTAAAAATAGCTGTGCTAAACAGCTCTTCCTAGAACATAAAACATCCTTTTACTGTTAGTTGTGTATCTGTGAGTCAGCACTGAGCTGAGTCACACACTTTCAATAGCAACCAAACCACTTGCTTGGTGAGCTCCATCATCCTGTAGGAAGCACGGTGAAGGAACTTTGGAAAGTTAGCTGAGTTTGTTCTGGCAGCTCCAAAAACTTCACAGCAGATTTATTTAATAGCTAAGGAATTGCTTTTTCCTTCAAGGAATGTTTGCATTGTGGCACGAGTGGCCTTTCCTGTGGGATCGAACTTCTGGAATGGAACTTGCTGTGCTGTTACACATTACCAGGTTACACACTGAGGGCTGTAAAGTTGTCACAAGTGCTGTTAACATAACCAGTAAATAAACCTCATATCTCTCCTTCAGGTGAAGAAAATAGCAGCTGAATACTATGACAACCTGCCCCAGTATAACTCTTGGATAAGAGTACTGTATGACTTCGTGATGGATGACACAATCAGCCCATACTCACGCATGAAAAGGCAATTAAAGGGTGAAGTGAAGCAAGATTAAACTTCTGGCAACCAAAAAACTCTGAAATGTCTGCTTGCTTTAAAGTGGCTGGTATAAAGGTTTCCTGCTAAAGCTGTTCACCTGTGTCCTGAATTAAGATGTCCAGCAACATAGCAATGCATCCTTAAGGATTTTGTAGCAGACTCCAACCAGCTATAACATTCCTCACAGTCCTCAGATTTGTTGGTTTAATGTGTCTCTATTTGCCTAAGGATCAGTGTTATATGCATTAATGCAAAATCACTTTGTTACAGAATTTACTTTGGTAGGTGTTAAATTTATATAAAATGTCTGACTCATAGCAGTTTAAAAGTTGTCAATGTATTATACTGCCCTCAACATGCTATTTAGATGGTAGTTTTAAAATGCTGTACTTACCTGTTAATTCTAAACTAACATGATTTGTTAACTTAAACATTCTGTTGAAAATGTTTCCAAACTGATGGTTGGAAGAACTAAATTTGCACAGAATTGTTCAGTCTGCTTTTGTTTAAATATGTCATCTAAAGCAATGCTTTAAAGTTCCATCTTTTCTACTGAGAGTACCTTAAAGGAGCAATCTATCAGAATGAAACTGCTATCTTTGAGATGACTGATGTGACTTCTTTGTTAAAAAAAAACAAAAAAAGGTGGGGAATTCACAGGTATTGCCAACTCCAAGGGTCCCCCCTACTGCCTGAGCTGCTTCTGTTGGCATGTAGAGTGAGCAGTGGCATTTAGGTAACTTAATAAACCTGATCTGGGGTTTCATGTTGGAAAAAGTCCTGTTTAGAGAGTTTGGGGGTTTTCTGATCTTTGAAGAAAAATCACTACCATGTTACTATGGCTTCAAATATAAATATTTACTCTTACTGGGAAATTTGGTTTTTATGGGAAAGTGAATGGATGAAAACAGATACTGTTTTGGCAAACAAGTCTAGCTACAGCCCCTGACAATACTGCCTATTAGCACATTAGTCATTTGTGTACACAGAAAGGTTAAATAATCTGGTTTGGTTTTTTCCCCCTAAACCTACAGTACCCTCCATAAATACTTGTCTTTCTTATATATTAAAATGTGATCAGAGGTGGTGTTGTCAAACTTCCTGCCTAGGAAATTTTTCATTTGGAACAGAGGGACATGCTGCACAGTGAAGAACCTTTCCATAACTCAGCACAGCAGACTTGCCTTCTTGGCTTTAAGCAGTCAAACCTGGCTACAAATTACCCTCAAATCTCAAATGGTGGCTCTGTGTATGTTCTTCATTAATCTGAAAGAAGGAATCTGAGGAAGGTGGAAGTTGTAGCTGCTGTAACTCAATTTGAGATGCCTTCAGCTCCTGTGTTTTGGGGTGTTTTTTTGGGTGTTTGTTTGTTTTGAAAAGGTGAGTGCCTGAAAAGATTGTACTGGTACCTCTTAACTCGACTGTGGTGCTGTTTTAATGTGTGTTTTGTTTAAGTGTGGGCCCTTATCTGTGGCTAAACAATAGAAGTGGTATGAAAGTCTGCCAGCCACCCACAGTGTGATTTCATTATGCCCACAACCTGTAAGGTAGCCAGTGCATTGCTCGGGGTAGAGTGTAATGTCAAATTAGAATTTGTCCAGTATTTTTACATGTAATTAAAAAGAAAAGGTTAAAGTAATACTGGGTGAATTTTTGATTGGTCCTCTTATGCTGAAGGACTTAAGCTTTAGAGAAATTTTGTGTTTCTAAAGCAGATTTGAGACCTTTCTATGGAATGGTGATATAGATGAGCTGTAAAGAATAATTGCCTTTCCTGCCTATGCAGAGGAAAACTGACTTGGGTTGAAATACTTGTAAAGGCTTAAGAAGCTGCAAACCAGTTTCTTTTTAAGCCATTTAATATCACTCTGTTTTTTAAATTATCTTTGGTGTTGATGATTTATTCATAGCTGGATGAAGGATGGAAAGTGCCTACCAAGTTTTATGGCTAAGAGCTAAAATTAAGAAATTCAGTTATCCTAAATAAATATTTAAGATAAGCTGAGTTCAGAGTAAAGATTTTATAGGTAGTTGTCTTAGTTACCTACTTAATGGAATTCCTGCTTTTTAAAAGGGCTGAAGTTGCCATCTTTCTTGTTTAAAATTGCAATTTTTGTTTTAAGGTGTTCTGACTATGATTTTCTGTCCCAACTCAAATTATAAATACATGATTTTCACTTTAGGAGGTACTGAATGGTGCAGAATTCTGAGGGAGATACTGTGCTTGCCATAACCTTTCTGCTGCTGGGTACCTATTGGAGAACAAGTTACTGTATCAGGTTAATCTGAGCTAGTGAGATTGAAGTTTGGATCTAAACAATGCTCTGATTCTTGCAAGCATTCCTGTGTAATACATAAAATCCTTAGCAGCCACCTCAGTGGTAAGAACTGCCAAAGCAGAACATTTGAAAGGTAACCAGCATTGTTTCCTCTCTGAAAAACAGAAGCATTTCTGAACCACTAACTAGGACCAGCTGGCCCTACTTGACTGGTTTGGTGTATTCTAAGTGAACAATGAATTTAAGTTCTAGGTCATAGTGTTTACTCCAAAGGCATGACATAGAAATATGAAACACTAACATTTAAGAAAAAACCAAATATGAACCATCTAGTTATTGGTTTAAGGACCTAAATAGTTTTCATCAATACAATTAAAACATACCTGGCAGAAAGCTGTTAATATAATCTTTGAAACATTTTATCTGAAAGTTGGAGGGAACTTATACTAACTGGTGAAGAACAAATTAAACCTAAAGAGCATCAAGAACCCTGACAATGGTTTTTTTAAATCTATTCAGATGGAATGAGTTAACTTAGGTGTTCTACATGTTTATTAGGGTTTGTTCCATTCAGTTTGTCAGTTTGGAAAACACCTCCTTTATGTGAAATCAGTCAGGAATTTTAACTGTCACCCAAGGATTTTAGTTGCAGTTAGATTGTGCAGAGCTCTGAATCTTCAAGGCTTTTAGAATAACCTGCAGTGTTCAGAATAAAATAAATGTCCTTGCATGGTTTTTAATGCTCCCTGCCCCCAATTATCTGGAGCTGCTGAAGTGGAGTCAGTAGTGCACCCTGGAGTGTGATTGTGCTGGGCATTAGTTTTCCCACAGGACAGGCGTGGGTCTGCTCCTCTTTCAGAACAACCCTTGCCTCTGGCATTCCCCACTTGCTGTGGAACCTGTCTGTTCCCAACATGAACGTGCTGAATGGCTGCATCTGTGTCTGCCTGCAGAGCAGGGCAGGGCTTCCTCCCTGGAACAGCTGGGAATTCCAGCTGTGGGCTCAGAACTCCACTAAGTGAGCAAAGGTCTCCAGGTGTTGAGACAAGGATCTGGTCATGGCTGGTGGCCACTGTCAGAGCTGAGGTCAGTGGCTCACCTCTGCCTCCCTGACATTTATTCTTCTGTCAGATGCAGTGGCATTCCACAGCAGAGCCTAAAGATGTTTGTTCCTTATTTAATGATGAGGTTCAGCAGTGATAACATCAGTGCTGCAGACTGCAGGCTGCCCTGCTGTTGGACTGAGAGGAGGAAAGTGACTTTGAAGCAGCAACCTTGTGTAAGTAGCTTGGCACAGCTTTTGGAAAGTGTGCTCTTTAATTTGGAAGTCTCAAAAGACTTAGAGCAAAGCAAGTTCTGCTGTTCAGCTCGCTCATTGCAAGGCACAGGAGGCACTTCTGGGTCTGCCAGCATTGCTTCTGCAAGCTCCTAGGAAAGCAATCTGATAAATAGGTGTGTCTGAATCATGTGGATCTGCCTTTGGCACAGCAACCTGCAGCTCCATGCAACTCTGTTTTCTCTAGCAAATCTTCTATTTCACAATCAAACCTACAGTGGGATACAAGACTTGAGTCAGAACAGAGATGTGGAAAAAGATTTCTACTGAGCCTAGAATGAAGACAGCATTTTTCTTTTCTCTTTCTGACAGTGCTCTGCACTGCCTCTGCCCCCATCCATGCTTATGTTAGCACTTACTGTGCTCTGGGACAGGCTCATTCTTGTAGTGTTGATATGTTGCTAGCCTCAGGAAAAGGGAGAGGAGAATGGCATGATGAACAATTTCTTGATCTTGTCACAACAGAAACAAGATGACTGGAGGCAAAACCTCGAGGCATGTCTGCTAGGAGGGGTGGTAGCTGCCTATGCAGAACAAAATATTTGTCTCTATTGGGTGAAAAGGCTCCTTCCTTAAAGCAGTTCTCATTTTCTGTGTACAAAGGATCATTGTTGTTTTAGTGATACATACTATAGCCTAAGCAGAATTTCCCACAAGGAACAGTGTGGGTGCAACACTCCTGTGTGAGCAGGCAAATGGAATTCAGCTGCCTACCCTGCCTGCTCCTTGCTGCACATGGAGCCCAGCTGAGGTAAGCACACAGGATATGGACACTTGACTGACCTGGCTTTTTGTCCTTCCAGCTTGACTTCAGATTTTCTTGTGCATTCAAACCCTCCTGCACCCTACTTCCTCTATCACCTTGATTAATAAACCTGTTTTTTTCTGGCACTCTTAATAAGACTGTAGTGCTGTTACTGCTCCTTGATGTTGTCATCTCATTGCAGGGGTTCCACACTGCTGTCTCCTTATCCCAAGAGCTCCAGACCTCCTTGGTGTTTCTCGTGGGTAGCTCCTCAGAGCACTGACTCTTTCTTCTTCACAAAGCAGCCACTGACTCCAGTTCCTTTCTCACCCAGCCACCCCACTCCTTTATAGCATCTTCTTCTCACTGGTTACAGCTGTGGCCTGGTAAAGTCAGGCCTGCTCCTAATCTTTGATAACTGGCCCAGCTGCAGCTCCTTAGGGCTGAGATTACTTTCTACACTATCTTTATTTTCTTACATTCTATCCCCCTACACCTTGATAGCATTTCCTCCCTTCTCTTGCCTTTCAAGCCCTACTTTGCTTTTTTGCTCCATACATACACAGGAATATCATCATTAAAAGAAAGGAAAATTCTCAGGTGGGTATGCCAGGACTTGAGGACTCCATTCTTGCTTAAGGTCATCATCTGCAGCTACCCTCAGGTATGGTGGCAGGAATCTTCTCTGTATATCCATAAAGGAGAAATCACTTATTCTTGTTATTGTTCCACTCAAGTGAATTGAGTGTACCATTATTATTATACTGTTGTAGTATTATGAGTTGACTGAGAGAAATGTGTTTGTGCAACCTTGAGAAGAAAATGAAGCTTAGGGAGAGAACTTAGGGTGGTTACAAAGATGGAGGGAGAGTCCCTTTTTTACAGGGGTGACATGGAAAAGATGAGGGGTAAGGGATGCTTCCAATTGGAAATGAGGAAAAAATATTCCACTCGTTGCTTGTTCTCATTGTGAAAAATCTCCCCAGAGAAGTGGTGGATTCCCCAATGGCAGACACTTGTAAGATTCAGCTGGACAGGGTGCTGGGCCATCATGTCTAGACTGTGCTTTTTGCCAAGAAAGCTTGGACCAGGTGATCATTGAGGTTTCCTCCCAACCTGGTATTGATTGAAAATGATGATGTTTCATCTTGGATTTCTGGGAATCATAGCTGAAGCTTCAAGTCTGATTTACAATTAAAAGCTGAGGCACATCATCAGCATCTGCTTTAGATCCAGGGACTTAATTTGTTAGTGTGATGAGTCAGGATTTGAGTCACTTAGGAAACAACTTCCCTAGCAGAGGGAAGATTTTTGCTCAACTTTTTGTTGAGCAAAAATCCCAGTGGTAAGAAGAAGCTGCCATGATCATCAGTATTTTTAAAATGCAAGTCTGTGATGGTAAGTTACATCTGATAGCCTTCAAACATGTACCTTTGGGGAAAAAGGTGCAGCAAGGTTTCTTGTTAGCTGGCAATTCTGAGAAGAATTTAAGATGTAAGGTACTGTT